CCCCGACCTTCCCCCCCCCCCAACCTAGGGCAGATTCCAGCCGGATTCAGCATGCGATGGATGCAAAAATGCCATTTCCAGAATCCTAGTTGACTGGAAAAAATTTTCAATGGTCCGCGGCGCAAAGGGCAGCCCCATTTGATCTGGGTACGGTTTGCAGTTCCCAGTTTCAGGCTGCACTTTCCTGCAGCTGGAACAGTTTGTTGCAGTTCCAGTTACAGCCTGCACTTGTCTGTCACAGTGGTGTACAGTATTTTTAGGGTCTGTAAACTTAAACAGTTACTGCACAGTGCCCACTTTTCTTCAAGTTACAATTAAATTTCTTTGTTTCTTCTCTTTCGAACCACCACTACCTTTCCCAGGCAAAGTCTAGAAAAATAAATGTAGCCTTCCATAAAGTCTGGGGGTTCGGGGCAGGATCAGCCTGCCAGGGGCTAAACAACTTTTTTGTCCCCCATGACCGCAGTGGGCCCACGTTGTGGACATTTATCGTCCAGCCCATCCAGGCCACAGATCACTGCATGTACGAAGGCCAGAAGGAAAATCCTGTTCGAAACACCTTTGACGATTCGGCTATATGAGATCTGTGTCATTCCACCCGCCTGCTCGAAACGGTTTGCCCGCAGAAAGAGCGTAGCACTGACCGTATGCTGTACAAAAGACTACAAATCATGCAAAATAAAAAGTACAGCAAGAACAAAAACAAAAAGAAAACAAATTTCAGAGAACCAATGGCGCTGATGTTATATGGACCATTGAACAGATGTCCACCAACCAAATCCTGAGGCCGATGCGAAGTCCAGCTGCCTGCCAATACAGATGCCCCACTTCTGTTTCCCACTACCGGTAATGGTGGCCCTGAGGCTCTTTTTTTTTTTTAAACAACCTTCCAGTGCTAGAGTTGCTGATAAAGCCAGACACCACTAGCACCTAGGGGGGCTCATTCTATTGGTGGGGAGCCCGGTGCCCCTGAGGCTCTGGGCCTGGACAAGGCTCAACAGGGCTCTGGCGTATGCCACATGGTGTTTCACAGCCTTGGTGAAAAGAAGCTTGGAAGTAGTGGTGGCTTAAAAGGTGGCTTAAACCACAATAATCACCTTTGCCATTCATAGTGCCCCGACAAGACGACTAATACCACGCCCTTCATGGCTTCAGGGCTTCGCGTCCCGTACGGGAATGGATGGTAGCACCAGGCAAAGAAAAAAGAAAATGCACCTATGCCGAGTTCTTTGCTGTTGGCTGCAGCAGAAATCTGTGCTGGGAAAAAAGAGGTTTGGAGCACTGGTGGTTTAGGCCTCAGTTTGGAGTTTAAATTCCCCATTAAAATCATACTGCCATACTGAGCATACTCCCCTAACGAAAAAAAAGCAAACCCAATGGAAGAATATTCTACATTATAGCCTGCAACTAACTCAGCTTCGGCTTCTGGTAAATCAAAAGGAGCACGATTCCTTTCCAMTATGCRCAAGGACRCCTCACTTCTGATGCACCTRCCTGYTGGTGGGCGGTTAGAGAAGAATATTCTACATTATAGCCTGCAACTAACTCAGCTTCGGCTTCTGGTAAATCAAAAGGAGCACGATTCCTTTCCACTATGTGCAAGGACGCCTCACTTCTGATGCACATACCTACTGGTGGGCGGTTAGAGAAGAATATTCTACATTGTAGCCTGCAACTAACTCAACTTCGGCTTCTGGTAAATCAAAAGGCGCACGATTCCTTTCCACTATGCGCAAGGACGCCTCACTTCTGATGCACCTACGTGTTGGTGGGCGCTTACAGAAGAATATTCTACATTATAGCCTGCAACGAACTCAACTTCGGCTTCTGGTAAATCAAAAGGAGCACGATTCTTTTCCACTATGCACAAGGACGCCTCACTTCTGATGCACCTACCTGTTGGTCAGCGGTTGGAGAAGAATATTCTACATTATAGCCCGCAACTAACTCAGCTTCGACTTCTGGTAAATCAAAAGGAACACGATTCCTTTCCACTATGCGCAAGGACGGATCACTTTTGATGCACCTACCTGTCGGTGCGCGGTTAGAGAAGAATATTCTACATTATAGCCTGCAGCTAACACAACTTCGCCTTCTGGTAAATCAAAAGGAGAATGATTCCTTTCCACTATGCATAAGGACGCCTCACTTCTGATGCACCTACCTGTTGGTGGGCGGTTACAGATAAATATTCTACATTATAGTCTGCAACTAACTCATCTTCGGCTTCTGGTAACTCAAAAGGAGCACGATTCCTTTCCACTATGCACAAAGACGCCTCACTTCTGATGCACCGATCTGCTGGTGGGCAGTTAGAGAATAATATTCTACATCATAGCGTGCAACTAACTAAGCTTCGGCTTCTAGTAAATCAAAAGGAGCACGATTCCATTCCACTATGCAGTGTATGCACAAGGATGCCTCACTTCTGATGCACCTACCTGCTGGTGGGCGGTTAGAGAATGATATTCTACATTATAGCCTGCAACTGTGTTACTGTGCGTTCAATGAATGCGCGTTTCGCTTTCATGTTTTGAACGCGTTGAACGCGCGTTCATTGAACGGGGCTGAACGCTTTGAACGCATTTGCGCAGGGTGCAGAGGCGTGGGCTGTGTGTGTGTGCGTGTGTGTGTGTGTGTGTGTGAGAGAGAGAGAGAGAGAGAGAGAGAGAGAGAGAGAGAGAGAGAGAGAGCATGCACATTGCTGGGCCGCTGCCCCTCGACTGCAGCCCGTTTCTGCATGCTCCCGCTGCAACTCTCTCTCTCTCTCTGGGCCGCTGCCCCTCGACTGCAGCCCGTTTCTGCATGCTCCCGCTGCAACTCTCTCTCTCTCTCTCTCTCTCTCTCTCTCTTAGTGGTTTTTTACAGTAGTCGCTTGAATCTCTCTCTCTCTCTCTCTCTCTCTCTCTCTCTCTCTCTCTCTCTCTCTCTCTCTCTCTCTCTCTCTCTCTTAGTGGTTTTTTACAGTAGTCGCTTGAATGCATGTGGCACAGTTAATCGTCCGGATACATTCGGAATTCGCAGTCTGACTGTGAATTTCCAATGTAACGGGACCATTACTTTCGCAACATGCATTCACGGTGACCACTGTAAGAACAGAGAGAGAGAGAGAGAGAGAGAGAGAGAGAGAGAGAGAGAGAGAGAGAGCACCAGCGCGTTGCTGCCCACCCCCGCCTCGCCCGCTGCGGTGCTGCCCACCTGCTGCAGCGGCAGTGCAACCCTTTCCCGTTGCAGTGCTCTCTCTCTCTCTCTCTCTCTCTCTCTCTCTCTCTCTCTCTCCCCTCTTACGGTAGTAGCTTATAGCTCGAATGCATGTAATCCAGGTAATTTTCCCAATACATTCGATATTCACAGTCAAAATTCACCGTCCGACTGACTGCGAATTTCGAATGTATTGGACCTTTACCTGTGCCACATTCGTTCACAGCTACCACTGGAGAGAGAGAGAGAGAGAGAGAGAGAGAGAGAGAGA